AAATGCTTATTGGCAATGATAACAAATTCATCTTGGTCAGTTAGAGTCAATTCAGCTACTTCAGGATCGGGTGTGATTAATGGAAAGGAAGCACTATTACCAATTCTTCTACAAGGCGTTGGCGGTGTTAAACGCAAAACACCATTTGGTCGTCCAACAACTGCGGTTGCCTCTCCAACACTTGCTAAACGTAATATGTACCGTCGTGTCGAAGGTAAAAATTCATTATCAGCTCGTTTTGTTCTAGAAATATGACACAAAGTTACATCTACTCCTGCACGCTGTCCACGCTGTTTCAACTCACGATGTGCTGATAATAAAGTGTACTTCATATACTCTGTAGAAGTTTCTTTAACAGTTAATTCTTCTAATAAAAGTCTGGGTATGGTTTTGAGAAGTATATCAGGCAGTTCTCCACTAGACTCTCCATCAAATAATCCAAATAACCCTTCCGTATTGCAGAACGCTGGCAATCTTAACTGAGATATACATAATTTACTTCGATCTCCTGCAGTTTCTGAAAATCCTACTCTCCATGGCGGGTCTAAATGACCATCACCTCCTTCCCTGTAGGGCCATGGGGTTGATGGTAAGGCAGCCCTATTTCTGCCACTGACATCAACCAAACTCATTGGTCTTTGAGATCTGCACGCCTGAAATTGTCTTGGATCGACATGTAATTGGGAATTACATGATAAATCTAAGAATTGTAGTTGCGGTGGAACTAATGACTCCAAATTTATCCTATCTAGTTGATTATGTGCGAGATCCAGCACACGAAGACATTTTGATTTAGAAAATCCAGGGGCAGATTGCAGACGATTGGAATGGACTCTTAGTACTGATAAATGTTCCAAAGCTGCCAAATTGTCAGGTAAATGTTGTAATCTGTTTCCTGATAAAACCAGCTCTTCTAATTCATTCAAGGCAGCAATGCAGCTTTCCGGTAAAGTTGCTAAACTATTATAAGCTGCATGCCATATTTTTAAATTCGAAAATGACGATACAGTATCCGTAATCGACTCTGTCAAACAATTAGCTGTTAAATACAACCGTTCCAATACATAAGTTACATCTTCCGTAGGTGGCAATTGAGTCAATCTGTTATTAGACAAATTCAAAACCCTCAATTGCGTGCATGATGAAAAAAAATTATCCGGCAACGATGTGATACGATTACACTGTAAAAATATTTCTTGTAGTGCAAGTCTTCTTCTGGGCAAAGAAGGTAATTTTTGGATCTCGTTATAACCCAATTGTAAAGTATGCAATGAGCTCAACTCGCTGCAAAATAAATGTTCAGGTAATGATTGAAGTTTATTGTGACTTGCAAATAAAACTTGCAGATCATGGCAACTGCAAACCCACGTGGGCAGCTCTGTTAGGGCGTTGTAAGATACATCGAAATGTTGGAGATTTGATGGCGGTGGTGAAATAATCAGCTTCTTTAATTCTAAAAAAATATAATGGATAGTGTTACAATCGATCACCAGACAAACAAAAATACTTTTACTACAATGTATAATTTATTATAGTTACCATTATTCCCAGCAATTAAAGATGTCAAAGCCCTGCCATTTAAAGTTAGTTCTGATAATTTATTTCTAGAGCATTGAAGAACTTGCAAGTTATCTAAGGCACTCAAATCTAAGCATTCGATGCAATTCTCGCTCAGATCTAGTTGTGCCAAATTCTGTAAAATAAATTTAAATATTTTTATACATGAATATATATATATATATATATATATATAAGAATAAATATATATATAAGAATTTTGAGATATGAGTCGAACAAATATTAAATGTTAAATATGAACAACGCAAGACTCAGATTTTTACACAAACTTTATTTAATAATCACATACGTTTCGAGACCCTGGTATACCTCATCTTCAGTATAATTTCAAAACAGTAAAAATTATATACTAATACATTATTTTATATCTTATTTAAATTATATTTAATTTTTTAAAACAAAGAACACCAACTATCTCTTGCAATGCTTGACACAGTCATCTGAGTGTTGTATTGTTCATATTTAACTTTTAATATATATTATATATTTGTCAAATAAGTCCATGGTTTCATTTTGATATTTTCAAATTAAGTAAAAATGTGTTTCAAAAAAAGCGTGATAGTAGTCCATAAATTTAACTTACATGTATATATATATATATATATATATATATATATATATATATATATATGATATTTTGTCGACGTTGATACATATGTAGAATATGTTTGCAGCCCAAACGTCGAATTAAAAAAAAGAAGTGAATAGAATAATTATTTATATTTCCGTAATTCCGTATTCAGTTTCGACACTTGATGTGTGTCATCATTCAGTAATCAAATCAGTAAATAATGATGTAAAATTTATTGAACACTAAATTTGTGTAAAAAAATAATATACTATATATATTCATAAATATTCATAAATAACGAGAAATTAAAGGAGCACATATTGCCCTCCTATATTTTATGTTGTTAATCTATATATATATATATATATATATATATATATATATATATGATTTAGTAGTTAATTTTGATGTTGAAATATATGAGTGAGTTCTTGAGGGCGATACATCAAACAAAGAATTCGTTTTGTATTACTCACCCCATAGTTTCCTAATATAATATTGCCTTTTAACTGATTTGCTCTTAAGCTCACTTTAGACAATGGCTGATTCAAATCATTTTTATCGCTTTCTTCCAAATGATCCTTTATATTAGCATTATTTGTTGCAGCTTGGAAATCCTAAAACGTATATGAATATATTTTTATCTATTTATATAATATATTAGAATATTTTTATTTCTCACCATATATCCGAGAGCCCTCATCCTGATTAAAAAAGTAGGAAAAAATTTGACCTGGTTTTCGGCCACCAGCAAAGTTGTTAATGAGGAAAGTGAACATAAAGAATCGGGTAGATCACGTAAAACATTTCTTTCAACTCGTAATTCTGCTAGGCTAAATAAAATAAAAATTTATAAATTTAAAAAAAAGCAAAAAAAATATTTCATTAAGCACAAATTGCAAAATTACAAAATCCAAGGAACAAACATATTCTATTTAAATTCACAAGAATTATAATAGTAGTGTTAATATCAATTATTTTCAGTTAATTAGGAACATTCCAGTTTACATATAAGTCTTCACACAAAGTTACTTTTTTGAATATTAGCTTATTTATTCTTGTCTCATCCATTGCCTTATAGTTTAGTTACTAACTTCCCGAAGGAGTTGGTTTTCATAAAAAATCCGATCTGCTAATTTGATGTTTTCTTGACGTTACAAGCCATTCTGAATCAAATGTGACCAAATTTTGAAAAAGTGTGTGTGTGTGAGAGAGAACAGATTTTTTTATATTCTATTTCCTTCAATTTGTAGTTACTAATACTTGCATAGAATAATATTTCAAAACGTATAGAGTTATTATTTTCATATTATATCAAACTTTCCACTAATCAAAACTGAAGCATAAAAATGTTGTTTAGTATTAAAATTCACCTAATAAATATATGTCTTTTATTACTTGCATCAACCGATGACCATCTCAAGGTCCACTATTGCACAAAACTAATAATTTATATCGTTGCAACAAACACTCGATTGTTTTCAATAATTTTCTACTTTGTATATTTTTTTATTAAGAAACCTTTTGTTATTTATTGTCATTTTTATTATCGAAACAATAATTTATGCGTTACGCAAGCACTAGAGCGTTTGTGATTTTTCGCTAAAAATAATCTTTTGCCGTTGACGATGGAAGATGGGTTTCGGATCGCTGACCACAAAATATACACTATCTCATTGTATTGAAATTAAAACAGGAAGCTAAATATTTTGCAACAGCAATAAACACCTACTAACAAAAGTATCCGCAAAACCACTGCTTGGAATTAGAATAGAAATCCAATGCCTTTAAAACAGTAGTAATTATAATATAAACTTGGAGGCTTGATTCTACACCAGATGCTGTAAACATAGGTTATGACTAGAATAGATTTTTAGTTAACTAAATAATATTATAGGAAGAGATGCCTTAATATACGATGGAATATTTATTTTATAAACAAAAAATTTTAGGAGCATTGCCAGTGAAGATTTTCTGCGTGATAAGATTAATCTGTTTTATATGAAAATTCTACGTGTAATACTGAAGAATGAGATGTTGGTAATACTAAAAGAAATAATAATAATTAGTATCAGAAATGATATTGAAAAACTATGAAATTGCTTTAATTTCAATTTGTAGACTTGATTTTTTTTTTATTTAATTAGCAATTAAAATACAATTGTATTTTTTAAGTTATAGTTACATTAACGAGGGCAAAGAAAAAAAAGTTACAATAGTCAAAAAAATAACAATTCTGAGTTCACTCCATTGAGAAACGTCTAGTGTTTCATTTGAGGTGTATCAAAATTTTGTTGATCTCGAAGAAATTCTGAAAAAGTCTAAAAAAACAAAGAAATTCAGACTTAAGTGTTTATAATTAATTATGAACCAAGTGCAACAAATAAATGCAGTTTAATTTGGTTAAGACATAAAACTGAATAAATTTATGAAATTAATTTGTTGTATATATCAATTATTTTTTTCTTCAATGACTTCAATAAATTGCTTTAAAAAAGCAGGATAAGAGCTTTCATACCGTAAATAATTCATGATTTTATACTAAAAGTAGTTTTCCAACTTTGAAATTCCCATGTATTAGGACAAGTATGATAATCTTATAATCTTGTTAGCGGTTGTCGGAAATTATACATAATGATCATCTTATATAGGACGATAATCATGTTTGACGTGATCAATATCATATTAAAATTGCAAAAACTTCAGCAAATTAAAAATAGTTCATAATAATAAACACTTAAGTCAGAATTTCTTTGAGTTTTTCAGAATTTTACAGAATTTCTTCGAGATCAATTAAATGAAACAGTAGACTTATTTTAATGGAGTGAACTCTAAATTATTATTTTTACGACTTTTGTAACTTTTTTTTCTTTGTCTTTGTTAATGTAACAATAACTTAAGAGATTCCATTGTATCTCGATTGCTAATTTAATAAAAATCTAGTCTAAAAATTGAAATTAATCAACTAAGTTAAATATGACAGTAACCAAAATGGACCACTAAATTTCTATAATTTACTAAGTTATATATTTTTTAAATTTTTGTGTAATTGTTATAAATCGATAAATTTATTATTTAACACTAAATATGGGCTAAATCCAGAATTTTTCTCAACAAAACAAAATTACATTGTCAAATTAATTCATAATTCCTCTACCTTTATTTTACTAGTCAATATCATTTTAGAACAGGTATACTAAATTATTATCATTTTAGAATATGTATATTATTTTCTAAAAATTTATACTATCAACTTTAGAATAAATTAAAATCCATCTTTAATGACAGAATTTTTTGGAAAAAAAGAAGTAGTACAGATAAGCAAAAAATTTGAGAAACTCAATATTAAGATTGTTTCAATAACAGGTGATATTGCTGACACTCTTCGATGATATGTGCTGTATTAATATATATATATATATATATATATATATATATATATATATACATGTATATATATATATATATATGGCTTATTCTCAAAACTTGCCTCAATTCAAAGTTAATCCATAAATTTATAAATTATGCAACACTGTTCACAGACAATTTTTTTATCACCCAAACGACAAATGATATTTTACAAGAAGAAGAACAACCATACTGTTCGATGTGTATAAGAAATCTAGTGAAGAGACTCAAATCAAACCACTGGAACATTAGTGATGATAAAACGAAGTTCAAGCCTCCGAAGTGAAAGACTTGCCATCGTAACGATATGTTTGTAAAACTGTTCTACTGGAACTATTTTTTACACAAATCGTAATATAAATAAACAAAAAACACGTACTTTTTTTTAATTATACAGTGAAGAAAACAAAGTAGATTTCGAATATTCTTTATAAAAAAACAAAGGAAAATAATATGCAAAAAATATTGAGTTTTGTGATATTCAAACCATGAGATAAAAATTCATAAGTAAAGAACTTGAAATATAAATATTTTTTGGGTAAATTATTTTCAGTTTTGATGTTAATTTTTTTCATCACATTATAAAGTAAAGCTTAATTTTTTCCTCCAGTTTTTTTTTTCAATTTCTATATATTTTGTTCTACGTTAAGTGTAGAGTATATAGGATGCTCATATCTTCAGGATCTATGCAATTAAATTTATTTTTCTCATTCTTATATCGACGTATTTTTAAATGTTATTTCAAAAGTTAGAAATATGTGTATAAAAAAGCTTAATTTTTGGCATGTATAATGTATGTATAATTTGATTTTTAATAAGTGTTTAATTTGGAAAATTGGAATAGTTTTATAGTTCCTGAAGAATGGGATATCCCATGTTCCGAAAACGTAAGATGATTTATATGAAAAAAATAAATAAATAATATTTTTAGAAAAATTTAAGCTTTTTGTTCATATAATTAGAATCGAATATATTTTATGAGTATTTGTTTATTGTTAAATTTATTATTAAATTTATCTATTAAATCTATTAAAAAAACTCTGTGATGGGATTGTTTTTAGAGGAAAAAAGAATTTGGATTTGTTAAATTTTTCAACATAATTTCAGATATCATTTTTAGATTAAAATTAATAATTGAAAAGATCTATGATAAAGTTGAATTTTTCATGGAAATCTCAATTATGTCAAATTCTTTTTTTCTTAACTTTCTACGTAAAGTGTTCTACAAATATGTGTATGAAGAAAGATTTATTTTTAAATTTTTCATATATTTAGTTCTACGTTTAGAGTAAATAAGATGTCTCCTTCTTTAGGAACTATGAAAATAAATTTATTTTTTCATTTATATCTTGATGTATTTTCAAATATCATTTTAAAAGTATTATTAATTTGATTTTTAATAAGTATCTATTTGGAAAAAAATAGTTTCACAGTTTCTGAAGAATGGGATATTCCATGTCCCCGAAATGTATAAAAATATAAAAATATATAAAAATTTAAATAAACAATATTTTGAGAAAAATTAAAATTTTATGTTCATAAAATTAAAGTTAATGATTAATTTATGTTGTTTTTTTTTTAAATTATTAAATTATTTTAAATATTTAAATATTGAATATACCAAAAAAAAATATTATTATATAAAGTGCTAGAAAAAATGTATTTTTAGTGGAGTCATTTTTCACAGAGCAACAAGAAATCTACCTTTGGATTTACCATGAATAATTTTTAATTTGAAATTTTATTTAAAAAAATTATAACAAAGTCATATTTTTATGGTAATCTTAGTTATTATTTTTAAATTAAAATTAGCATTTAAAAAAATATTTAATAAAGTAAAATTTCTCATAAAAATCTCAATTATATCAAATATTGTATTTCAAAAAATGTCTCGAAAACTCCTAGACTTTCTACGCAAACGGTCCCAGAAATATGCGATTTTTATCATTTTTTCTCCCAATGTTTTTTATATCGATTAAGAACAGCACTAGTGGTGTTGCAATCGATGTTTTACAATATAACCTTCCTTACACTTTTTATTGTAATCGGTTTCGGTACAGCGCACCTGCTTTATAAAAGACCATATAGTGAAAACAGCGGAAATGTGCCCATAGCCCATGCCCGGAGTCTATGGCCCAAAATAATAAAAGAGCTGGAAAAATTTTCAAAAAAAGCTAACAAAATCTGCTTAACTTGGATAATTTTATCTACAGTATTTAAAATTTATTAGATTATTACCAGAATCCCTAAAAAACTCATAACTCGGGGCATATTTTTAGTATTTCCATAATTGCTGATCTAAAACTCTCATTATAATTTCTGGAATCTTATATTCATTTTCATCCTTATTTGAAAACATGTAATAGTCAATAGATATTTAGAATATCTGTATATGGCTCTGTATGAAATAAAATAAATTTTTGAAGTCAATAATATTTTTATTATCCAAAGGATATTCATTAGCCCCTTTACTAGTGAATACATGAAAAGTTCTCTCTGAAGAAGTCTACGGCGTCAATCATTGGAAATGATTTCAAGAAAGAGATTCGAATGAAGAATCGAAAGTTTTTACGATGTTTTGTTTCATAGAAGTTCATAAAATGATATCTTACCACCACAACAAGTAGCTTTGGCTTTATCAGAGTTCCGCATTAGTACATTTCTTAATCATTTTTAATTTAATTAGCAACTTCTTGTAGTATAAATTTGATGCTAGATAATTGTTTTAGAACATATTTTGGTAGTGCAAGACTTTATGTTTTAAAAAAAATCTGATATGCTAATTTTATGTTTTCTCGACGCTTCAGGTCATTCTATATCGTTTAACACCAAATTTCAAAAATGTACTCGTAAGTGTGCTTATATGTAATTTAATCTATGAGTGTGTGGTATGTATGTGAGCCAAAATTTGACTTTTTCTCAACCACTAAATTTTAAACTATTTTATGACACTCGAAAAAAATTTTTGTTGATTTTTATAGAATTGACCGAACCGTTTTTATTATAATTTCCACTTAAGGTAAGATAAAATTATTCATTAGCGTTTTAGCCAAAATTCCTGAATCAATTTTACAAATTCAAACTTTGTTCAAAAGATTTAATTGGAATTCGTCATGATTAGTTTCTGGTAAATATCAGCTAGGTCGCTTGTTCGAAATATTTGTAAAAAAAATATCACATTATAATCAAATATTTCTTAAAAATTAAATTATAAACCAATGACATGTTCCAACTACGTGGTATATTGCTAAAATGGAAAAGAAATTTCACAAACTGTGAAAACTATTCTTATTATAACACGACCAATAAATAACACACGGAATGTGTTGTAAGTTAACATAATTGTTTGGAAAGCTTTTATGACTGCAATCAAAATTACTTGAGTAATGATAAAGAATTGGATAATACGATTATTTTTATACATTCCCTATCATTAAAGAAAAAATTTACAAAGAGTGGATACTGTTCGATAATTCAAACATAAATAAGAGGTTACACATCATCAAGATATTATTAATATTTCTTACCTTGTCATAAGACATATTTCTTGTGGCAAATTTTCGAGCTTGTTGTCAGACAAATCCAGTCGTGTGATTGTAGATAATTGCAATAAAGATCTAGGAAATTGTTCCAAATTATTTGAAGACAACGATAAAACCTAAAAAAAAATAATATAAATTTAATAAACAATAATTATTCTTAAAATATAATTTGTGATATGTTGCACATATCAAAACAGAATTTTAATTAATATAGGAATACAAAATTTAAAAAAATTATAAGCAATATTATTCACTGCTGATATGCATTATTTAGTTCATATTATGTTAAGAATAAATAGTGAAAAAATATAGCACTGGGATTTTTAACAGCTCTTGTCAATTAGCAGAATGTTGACCATTAGCAATTAATTTTGTAAAATAAAATTTACAGCTTGCAACTTGACTAGAATTTTCAAAAATGCTACACAATAATCAGAATCATGATACAAATCAATTATTATCACAAATTTAACTTTATTGATAACAATTATCAAAATTTTGATCAATTTCTATTATAAAGATATCATATAATATTTGATACGAAGAGACTAACTTACCTTAAGTTTACTAAGTCTAAAAAGTAAATCCAAATTTGCTCCTTGAAGCTCATTATTGCCCAAATCTAATTCTTCTACTCGTAAAGAACCATTCAAACAATGTTCAGACAACCCTCGTAAACCAGCACCCCTTAGGTCAATTTTTTCTGGATCACTTTCAAGAGTTGTTGCCTGAAAAAAAAATTAAAAAAGTGTTATTGAAATGAAATATTGAACTAGATTAAATAAATTTTGTTCGTACGTGCAATCAATTAAAAAGCAATCAGTAGAAAGATTACACTGCAATAAATGGAACACGTGATAATCAATCAATTTTTTGCAGAAGTAGAAAATTAACTGTTATCTCTGCAAATAGTTTTTCTTTCTTGCATATTAAATATTACATTTAACTGTTGAACCTCATAGTGTATAAATTTACAAAAACTCCAAAATCTTTCAATATTTCTTTATCACAAATTTTATAATGTAAAATTAATTATCATTTAATAAGTGTATAGGGCAATACGTTTATATCATTATTTAACTTAGGCTAAAAGCGCCCTAAATAAAAAATATGATAATTTTAAATTTTCTGTTTTTTTTTTAATTCCTCGGTGTAATTATTTCACTACTTAATTAGAAATATTATCATGGAAAGTTTTTTGCATATAATGATACCTCGTCAACATCCTCTTGAACCGGTTCGAGAGAGTCCAGTTCTAAAGAATCTAACTGCACACTATCACTAAATGTCACTTTTGGAGCAGATTTTGATCTTGCTCCAGAGAAAATTGAGTTTTTACCCTTAGTTCGACAACTTGCCAGAACCATTTTTGAGGTTTTTCATTATTTCATTGTAATAGTCAATTGGTAATATACACTAATAAATTTTGTTCAAACTAGTTTTTGGAGTTTTTATCACAGAATTAATTAGTAGACCTAAATATATTTTTTTAAATCTAACACTACTAAACTTATTATTTTTTAATATTATATTATTTATAACTGAAAATAATATAACTCAAAAATCAATTTAATTTATGATTAATAATTCTAAAATTATATGATGTAATGAAAATAATATTTGACTATTATTTTCACTCAAAGTACAGTTATACATTTTTATAGTTATTTACACATTGTTTTTAATATTATTTAATCTGTTTATATATTCTAATTGAATTAATATAAATTCTAATTGAGAAAATTATTGATATAAATAAAAATATCGTAATATTCAACATTCTGAAAAAAATATTATCATTTTTAGCTAATTTCTGAATTTAATAAATTAAGAAATTAATTGTTTAATTTTCAATTATTTAGATATTATTCAATATTTAAAGATGTATATAACTATTATTGCAATTTAAAATATAAATGTATACAGTCGTTTTAAATATTATTTAAATTTTAATATATATGAATAAGCTTTCCATTGTAATTTTTTTGTGCTCTGAATTGGATTTCAATTGGAATTTTCATGCGTCTAATTGGAATTCTTTGAATTTCAATAGATATACTCTTAATTTCAATGCTTATTATTTAAATATGGGGTGCTCACTTTTAGTAACTGATTCATAAATTAGTTAATACTTTAAAAATTTATAATTTATATTCATATTCAAAAAAAATTTCAGGAAAAGAACTAAATTCAGATTTCCTATATATTTGTTAATTATAATTTTTCATAAATAAATGTATTAAAAAAAACAAACGAAATAAAATTGATGTAGAATTAACAAGTGGCTTCAAATATAGAAAGCCTTCTGCAAATTGTCATGGAGATTTTTTATTAATATAATAATGTTTACACCTAACTTAAAAAAAACTGAAACGAAATAAAATTGATGTAGAATTAACAAACGGCTTCAAATATAGAAAACCTTCTGAAAATTGCCATGGAGATTTTTTATCAATATAATAATTTTTACACCTAACTTAAAAGCAATGAAAAGAAATAAAATTGTAAAATTAAAAAATGGATTTAAATAAAGAAAACCTTCTGAAGAATGTCATGGACCTTGGGATTCACAAAAATAATGTAATGTTTTTTTTTAATTTATTGAATATAGAAATAAAGGAATAATAAAGAACTTTGTATAAAATTGTGTACTGTGTTATATTATGCGCTTTGTTTGTCACCAAATATTGAAGTTGATTAATCGAATAGTTAAATTATTACACAATTTAGATAACACATTTTTTATGTAGCTGAATAATCACTTAAATTTAACTATATGCAAATTTAATTTATTAGTTACACACACACACATATTTAAATTTTTTTTAAGATTTTTATATCTTATTTTATTTATTATATATATATATATATATATATATATATATATACAAATGTGTGTAGGTATTATACCAATAATCACAATTTTTATTATTACCATTCATCAACTTGTATAAAGCGCACTATAATTTAAATATTTATCTACCGTCCGACTAACACGGTTTCTTCGTAATGCATTCGAATTGAATGAATAATGATAACATGAAAATAAAATCCTTTGCAAGTTTTCGCACTCACTTCACGGCCTGCGATTTTCAAGAAAGACACATAGCTGCATTAGCATATATTATGGCGCTTAACTCGACTTATTCATTCAGTGAAAGTGAAGTAAAATTGATTAAAGCAGCCACTGAACATCGGATATTTAAGTTGCAAAACTTTTTAGTTGAATTATTGCGCATTTGATGTAATAGAAAAGACGATTGTCTTTTGCGGCGTATTGGTTTATATTCAAATCTACCGAAGGAGACAACATTTAATTTTGTTTGGTGCCATGCATTTAACCTATTCTCTAGTATATTGAAATTTGGCAAAACGTCTTATACTTAAGGACCCCCCCTCTCCCTTGGTGATACCATCACAGGAATTTTTTAGTTACGTAAAATTTTTCGCATTTACGAATTTTTTGATTTTTTTTTTTTTCAAAAATTCAGGTAAAAAATACATGTGATATTTTACTAGACCCCTCCCTCCCCCACGTGATATTTCGTGATTTTTTGTCAAACTACCCCTGGTTTGGTTTTGACAGTATATTTACTACAAGACAAAAAATATTGATATACTTATAAGCTTATATAATTATTTCAATGCTGAATGGGATATTTCACTCGATGATGCATCTAATACAGACCAACAATCAGTCACGAAATATGTAACCGAATCGATTTTATTTCATTTTACGCATAAGATTCCAATGTGATTCCAATAAAAATGTGTAAGAGCAACAAATACGAAAAAATAATAAAAATATATGTTTACTACAAGAAGGTTACGCACACTCATATATGTATACATATATGCTTAGATAAACAAAGATGTGTCAATATAGGTCATTTATCCAAATTTTAGCATTTTTCGGGTTTACAAAAATATTTCACCATTACTAATGATTTATAGAATAATTCACGGTCTTCAAATTTCTCATATTTATGGTAATACATTGCACAAAATTGTCGTTTTGGCAATTGGCCTTGCCAAAACTAATTGAGGACTTAGGACAATTTAAGGTGGTGGGTACAATAGCTTTTTTGAACGATGTTGCACATATAAAAAAGCTTTAATTATGAGGGCTCTGATGATTGTAGTAATTACCATCCATTTCTACATGTGTTTCCAAGTGTTAAATCGAGGACATACTTAAAAGACTTTGTGACAAGTTGTTGAAGAACTTCGGGTCACCGAGCGAGACATAGTTTCGCAAACTAATAATAGATACAGATAAAATTTTCAGGATATTATTTAAAATCATGTAAAATATTAAACTGTACTAGATATCTTACCCTAAAGCAAACATACGCAATTATAGTAAAGAAAGGGTAAAAACAAAGTCAAACTATCGGAGCAGAGACGAAAGCCTATAGGCTTTTAGGCTTACATGTGGCCTAGTGAAATGTATATATTTTATTATTAAAAAGAAAAAGTTAGTATCAATTTATCCAAGTTCTGACTATAAAAAAACGAAAATCTCTTTTTCATAAATTATATATAGTTAAATAAATAACAACATTTTTTTTAATATTTTCTACGAACTGCTACTATAACCCTAATGAATATATACTCAAAATAATTTTAATTGTTAGGCTATAATAACAATAATGTAGGCATTTTAGTAACAGGTTTGCTGAATAATAGCTTTGGTAAAATAACTAAAGATTGTAATTACCATAAATTTAAAAACATAATAATAATTTTAATCGTGTTGAGGAATTATTTATCTAATAAGCCATTCATTTTAATTATTTTTATATTAGTTTTATAATTAATTAATTCAACCATCTATGAACAATTTTTATTTATTATTTATTATTCACGTGTTCACTGATCATCACAATCGAATTAATCACAATTAAATCAAATTTTAATGGAATATATTATATCTGAATCTATTAAAATCACAAACAGGTCACTAAACTGAAACGCTTGTTGCATTGAGCTTGACATTCTCGTAACTGAATTCAAGTTTATTCTGTCGAGCAAAAGAGCAGTTATATATTGTTATAATAATCTTATATTTTTTACAACTCTAGACGTTAGTTTATCTCATAATACGTACGCGCATATCGCACAGGAGAATCGGAGGAATTTTCTTACCTTTGAATACTTAATTCTCAGTCGAGATTTAAAAAAAAATCCATAATATGTTCAGGTTCAAAATTTTAAAAAATATACCACATTTTTCGTCTTTGAGACCTTAATATAATTTTTATTGTGTTGTTAATTTTAAGTTAAATTCAACAGTTTTTTTATATTACCTCTATAAAAGCTACACGTGAGTGAGATAGAAATGACCTTCCCCTGGCAAAGGTTTTAACAATAAAAAATAGTAAACAAACAAATAAATTAAGATAAAAATTATTTTTACAAAAGCAAAAATAAATAATTAGTTATTCCAAATGAGGAAAATACTAGATCAAGGTTATATACAGTTTTATCTCCATAAAAAATGTACCCATGAAATTTATAATTTGGTTGAATAAAGTAGCTATTATTTCGTAAAAATTCTTTAAAATTAAAAATAAGAATAAGGCGTATAATTAGACCCCTGACTATCCTATTTTTCCAAGGGGTAAAAAACCAAGTGACAATGGTGGGAGTTTTATTGAACATAGTCAGATGAATGTTTGATAGATATGTGTTGTTTGTTGTATTGGTTTGGTTTACTTTGTATATA